ACCCTGAAGGGAAGTGGTGGAGTTTGGTTGGTTTCAGCCGTTGTTTCTGAATTCCGATTATGACTCTCCCTCCCAGTCTTTATTTGCTGTAGCCTCAGTGTGATAAAAGGGAACTTCAATGCATGGATCAAAGAAAGCATTTTTATCAAAGCAGTGCATGTACTTTTGTTTCCTAATACCTTTCTTCCAAAAACTCAGTGTTCTTAACTGAAAGAAGAAAGGGAATTGTGGATAAATACAAGTGCCTCCTACTTTATTTCTTATCTAAACGTAATTTCTTAAGAGAGTCCATATGAAAATAGGCAATATCCCCATTAAGCAAATGGAGAAATTAAAGATTAAAGAGATTGGCGTACCCAGAGTCACAGAATTAGAAAGCAGCTGATTTAGGGTTCAAACCCAGGCAGCCTGACTTCAAGCCCAGGCTCTCATTTAGTCTCTGATGAATTTCAGCTGCATCATCTATGATTTCTAATACTCACTTTATAATGTCAGAATCCAGTGACATAGTGTATATGGGTTTGTAGTATACTCCATGATACATACTAATATCCAATCAACTTTTCTTCCCAGGAAGTGTTTGAATGCCCATTCCCACGTCAGGTCCTGTGCCCCATGCTGAGGTCACAGTGGTGAATCACACACCTCCCCTGTAAAAGCCGACAGCCCAGGCAGAGGGAATAGCATGAACACAGGCAGAATGTCTTGTAAAGCCACACAAACCTGCATATGAGAATGCATTCTTATACTCTGAGTAACAGTATACAGCATTTGAAAAGCATTAGGCCTTTAAATGACCTTTCTCTCATCCCCAAACGTCCCTGTCAGCTTAGCTCACATCATCACTTTCATCATTTTATCATAAGTGTAATCATTGCTGCTATCTTTACCCAGGCCTTGGTATCTTCTATGTAACATCTTTCCAATCCCTAGTTTGTCCGTGATAATATTTCATTTTTTCATTAATTACTAAAGCTGTGAGATTGCCTTTAAATTATCTAGTTACATCATTCTCCGTCATGCAGAGAAACAATTATATCCATTTGTTATAGTCGCAAATGGCAGATCAATGCTAGATTATTAAGGGAGAATAATATTAATAACAGGGAACATTCTTAATGTTTTAAGGTGAAGAAGGATGCTACTGTATTCGCCCACAAAATGTCTCTTGACCACTACCAGAGACAAATTCTAAGTTGAATAAAACAAGTAAGTGTCAAAATCAGTAATCATGTGACACAGAATTTTTTTATGCCTGTCTAGATGTATAGATTCATATCTGGCAAAAAAAGAGCATTTATACTGATTGAGACTTTGTAGCAAAGGTGAAATTACATGTGGCAGTATATGTCTTGATTTGGCTTTTCTCCTTACCTATAAACATATAGTTTCTTTACCCAGAAACTTTTTATATGATAGAAGGAATTTTAGTACTAATTAATGACATATAATTAGGCTTATTTTTCAAGTAAAACTTTTGTGAGACTCACATGTCATCAAAAGTAATGACATAAAAATTATTTTGAAATTCACATGGAAAAATACTGAAACTTTCATGTTATATCACAAATGCTTTATTAACATTATTTAAAATGTTTTACGACATTATAAAGTGAAAATATCAATTCACAGCATGCTAGTCTTTCTAAGTACTCATGGTTTTGCTAGCATTTACTTTCTTAATTATGGTCTTTATTAAAAATAAGTTTATGTTCAAACGTAACAATATTGATGAATAATAAAGAAGCTATTTAATACTCCAAAGTAGTTCTTATAATTCCTGTTATTCACCATGACATTAGGATTATAGACTTTATTTATACTTTCCTCTGAATGTTTTCCTTCAAACTGAAATAAAAAATGGACTGTCTCAGAAATGCTTTATCATTCCTGTTTCCTTTTTCATTCAAGTTGCAGTAAAACTCTTTTTTCAGGATAAAGTTTGGGAGCACACCGCCTTCTACATGCATGCTCTCGTTTAATTGTCACAGTAATCTTATCAGATGGATAGTAGAGCACCCATGATACAAATGAGAAAACGAGGAGATGAAGAGATTAAGTAACGTGCCACAGGTACAGCTAACAAGTAGTGGAAGCAGGATGGGAACTTAGGGCCACCTCGATTTCTGTGTCATTCTTCTTCCAACTCTTTGGGAATAGGTTATTTTCTTATGTGAGCTCTCAATCCTATTAATGTGAAATTAATATTGCCACATTTTAAGTCGTTTAAAAATCCATGTAGCTAGAATATGGCTAAATATTGTTTTCCTATTGAATTTGATATGTGCCTAAGGTAAAATATATCTTTATCAATAACGAGTATAACAATTTATATGTTCATCCTAAATCATGATAAAAATTTTTGTAATAAAGTTGCATATATTTAAGGTGTAGAACATGGTGATTTGATATACTTACACGTAGTAAAATGATTACTACAGTCAAGCTAATTAACATACATCTCATCAGGTGATGAGTACACCTGAAATTTCCTCCCTTAGACTATTTCTGTCAGTACAATATTACTGAGTATAGTCATTATGCCCGTACATTAGATCGTTACACTTATTCCTTCTATACAACTGCAACCTTGTACGCTTTGACCAACATCTCCTCACTTCTCCCCCATTCCCCCCAACTCCTGGTGACCACCATTATACTTTGATTCTATACATATGCTTTGATTTCTTTATCTTTTGTATATCAAAAGATATTCTTCTATAAGTTTGACTTTTTTTAAGATTGCACATATGAGCTCATACGGTATTTGCTTTTCTCTGTCTAGATTATTTCACTTAGCTTAATGTCCTCCAGGTTCATCCAAGGTGTTGCAAAAGGCAGATATTCCTTCTGTCTCGTGGCTGAATAATATTTCTTTGTATATATTCGTATACCACATTTCCTTTATCCATTCATCCATCAACAACCATTTAGGTTGTTTCCATTTATTAGCTCTTGTAAATAATGCTGTAGTGAACATGGGATGTATGTATCTTTTCAAGTTAGAGTTTTCATTTTCTTCAGGTAAATACCCAGAAGTGGGATTGCTGGATCGTATGGTAGTTCTATTTTTAAGTTTTTGAGGACTCTACATACTGTGTTCCATAAGGGCTATACCAATTTACATTCCTACCAACAGTGTACAAGTTTCTCTTTTCTCTACATCTTCACTGACATTTGTCTCTTGTCTTTTTGATGATAGCTATTCTAACAGGTGTGAAGTGCTCTCATTGTGGTTTTGATTTACATTTACTTGATGATTAGTGATATTGAGCACCTTTTCATGTCCCTGTTGACTGTTTGTATGTCTACTTTTGAGAAATGTCTATTCAGGTCCTTTGCCTAATTTTTATTTGCATTATTTGTTTTCTTGCCATTGAATTCTTTGAATTCCTGTTACATTTCGGATATTTGCACCTTATCGGATGTACTGGATTCAAATATTTTCTCCCATTCCATAGGCTAGGCTTAACATAGTCTATATTAGATTAAGTACTTTGGGCATAGTTGCATGGCTGGGAAAGAGGGAAATAAAAACAGTGTTTTTCTTAATTTCTTGATAGTTCTCTATAGAAAGCTTCTAACTACCATTATGGTTTAAAAATTAGAAAGTAGAAGAATCATTTATGTTTTCACAAATACTGTCCCTGCAAAATGGCAGGCCATCACTGGACCTTGTACTTCCAGAAGCCAAGGGACATAAAACCTATAGAAAAGAATTTTTTTAAAATATAAGGAATGACTATCGATGGTTTAAAAAATAATAATAAGGAAAAAAAGCACAGTACTTAGAATTTTTGTGCCGAAGATACTGCTGTGTATAACTGGGATGCCATGGTAGACAGATTAATCCCCGTGCTGAAGACCTTACACCAATTATTATAAGGCAACCCAGTATAATATAAGGCCATATGGAGGATTCAGAGGAAAATAAGTTGACTTTAGGCCCATGTTATAGGGAAAAACATGGATTTCGTTAGGGTAGAACATAAATAGGCATAGATGAGAGGAAAATATTCCGTCTATAGAATCTGTAATTGCTCAGGAAGGCAGAGTATTTATTAAATGAAGAATTGACCAGTCTGGCCAGAGCAGTGGGTTTATTTAGAAAGCGGTAGCAGACGGGGTCTGGACACATTCTAGAGTGCTGGGGAAGGCATCCTCAGTCGTGGTGCACACACGCTAAATTACTGAAAAAGGGCCTTTCTGAGGCAGACTAGCCGAAGGTATGTGCAGACGCGACAGTCTATTCAATTTGAATATAATAATTAGAACTGATACTGAGATTTCAGTGAAGGATGAAGTTACAATGTATAATGTTTAAATTTTTTAAATTTTGTGCATTATTTCAGAGTTGTGGGCCAAGCAGTTACTCACTGATGTTTTTCATTTGTTTGTTTGTTTTTGTTTTTTTAGAAGTTTGTGTTACTTGTTTTTATTAGGAAAAAGGTTTCGGTAAGCTCTGCATGTGAATTCCTACTGCTCTTCTGGGATCCAGAAGTAGTTCTAAAGTTATCAGACCAGAGTTTAAAAGGAGGAAGCCTTAACTGCTTTAGCCATTTCATATGATAAACACATTTATCTTCCTGTTCAGTTCTGCTTTATTTGGGAAAGCTAGGACCTCAAATTATGGCTAATCCATTTTCCCTTTAGGAGAGTCAAGTTTTGGGTCAGATTTTAACTTTCATACTGTTCTTTAGACTTCTCTCTTGTTGTTTTGTTTTGTTTTTAGCATTTTATTTTATTATTAGTTTCAAGTAATCTCTTTTAACTAATATTCTTAATTATAATTCTGCAAGAAAATGGTTTATATGTGTGCTAATAGAATCATTCAGCTATGATTATAATCTTAATCAGGACAATAACTTGTGGTTTCTGGTGGGTTTTTTTCACATAACTAGTTTTATTTAAAAATTTTATGGTTAGCAGGCATTATCGTTTTAAGGTATTCCACATAGTCATTTTTATTCTAACACAGGCATTTTGTTTACTTCTTAAAGGGCTTTCTTCAGGAGATTCTAAATCTTTAATGCAAGAAAACGTACTGAGTGCAGCCACACGTGCTGTTGGTGATGAGGAGTCTGCTGAAGTGAATGCTAATGATCAGCCGGAAGCCCCAGCGCTAGCTCTGCAGTCTCTGTTCTCGCTCATACGAGGTGAAGTTGAGCAGCTGGACTCAAGAGCCCTTCCGCTTTGCCTTCATCAGGTACTACACTAAACCCTTCACTTCCAGCCTCGCCAAAATTCTGGGACCAATGTTTGGAATAACCTGAAATCCAGTTCTCTTTGATTGATTCTATCCCATCTGTCATTGGTGAGCCCAGGAGTGAGTGACCTTAGATCAGTGGCTGGTGGGAAATGTGCATATTACTAACTATAGTTCAAACAATTGCGAACTTCTTGTATATAGTGAATAAACTGTGTGCAAATAAGAGTCAGTGTTGCAAGTGCTTAGTGAGCACCAATAAGGTATCAAAACAGCACTGGACACTGGGGAAACAAAAATTACTCAACAGGGTATGCTTTTAAGAGAGCCACTGTGGAATAGGAGAAACAGTTATGTAGATAAATAATTGTAGAATTCTCTATTAAGTGTAGCAGTAGACATGTTTAATGTTCAGCAAAGCACAAAATGCTTGATTATTTTTGTCCTGTAGGCATTAATTAAGTCCAAAGCAGATGACTCTTGAGCTGAGATTTTGTAGATGTGTAGGCACTCACTAGATGAATCAAGTGAGCTTGTACAGGAAGGGAGACCAGCCTGTGCAGAGGCATGGCTGCGATGTTGTTGAAGATTAAAATGGAAATGAGATTGGAGAGCTGGTGACTTTAAGGCCTTTTAGGGGCTGAGAATTTTTAATTATGGGAATGCAAAATCAAATTTTAATTTTAGAAAAATAACTCTTAAGACGGGGAGGGCAAGTTAAAGGATGGAGAGACTGAGTGGCCTTTAGGACAGTGATGGGGAAGCTTTTTTACACAAGAGCTAATTCAGAAAAAATTGAGATATTTATGAGCTGCATTGTATTTTTCCTTAAAATAACTAGAATATGGGAATGGAAGAAAGCTTTGCTTTCTATTTCATTTACTTATGTTTCATTTTAACTTTTGCAATGAGTAGTGAGTACTTTTAAAAATTAAATAACTTCTGTCTCAAGGCAGGAAAATGTATATTCTTATAAATTTATAGGACTTTCTTTGTGAACTTGAAGAAGGCCTTTGAGAATATGAGTACTGCTTTTTGATCTCTAAAATGTTTCTAACTTGCCATAGTTGAGAAGCACCAACACCAAGGCAGCTTTCTAACCTTTCAGCCTTCCTCGTATTTGTACAGTGAGTCGGCTTTTAAAGGATATTCACACTTAGTTATTTCATCCTCCAAATAACCTAGGGAGCATAGTGGTGGTTTGGAGTCGTACATGTGAGACATGCATGGAAAACTATGCCAAAAAAAAAAAAGAAAGAAAGAAAGAAAAACGTAACTCCAGCGAAAACAGAAAGTTTTCAGGAAAGGAAAAATACTAAAATTTTGGCTCATAATAAGGTAAACATTAAATATTAATCTACCCATTACTACAGAATAACAATATGGGATAGGTGAGTGAGAGAGTTATGTGTGTTTATAGGATTGGGAGAGGGGAGAATCAAAGAATTCAATCCTCATCTTCTACTGAAACTGAAAAACTAAGAAATAGCAAATACAAACATAATGTTTAGAGACGGAAGTTTAAAAAATAAAAAACAGGTAAAAAAAAAAAATCTAAGTGCTTGCCCCTGAAGGAAGGTATAGGACAAGAGGAACAGAGGCTTTCTTAACACACCTTAAAGAATTATTTGACTCCTTAAACCATCTATTTTTGTAATTTTGATAAAAATAAGAACTAAAAATAGACATTTATAATTCAAGCATAAGGTGAAAAAGGCATCCAGGTTAATGGTGACAGTGGAGAGGGATGACTTCTACTCTGTATCTTGAACTTCTGGTTCAGACTCAAAAGCCATTTTAAGCACTTACTGCTATGTGCTGGGCACTATGCTATATATACATTCTCACCTGATCCTTATGGCATTTATCTCATAGAGTTGCAGGTATTATTGCCCCTATTTTATAGATAAGGAAGCTGAGGCTTGAGTCATGAAATGACACATCCGAGGTCACACAGTTGGTAATGGCAGAGCTTGGACAAGAATACAGTTTCAGGTAATTCACCTCCAAGCCCCACCTTCTTTCTGCTCTACCAGGCTACCTCCCAGATTTAGACACATGGGAGACATCGAAGAAAATCACATCTTCTTTTGCCCTGCGAGACTTACCAGAGTTAGGTTTTTATGGGGAAAATATCCTGCATATTTATTTTTCAAGCTGTCTTCTCACTGGAAATGCCTTTTACTTCTGAGGCATTGGGTTTTATGATCCTGTACTCATGGTCGCATTTATGATATTGGAACTGCCACCCGAATTCTAATTGAAATTTATATTTCTGTAGTGCCAGAAAATCTGGTTCCAAATAGGTCTGGACCTCGTCAATACTTCTTTAATGAGAGTTATTTATAAATAAATATATCTTTTGATACACAAACACAAAAAGACAAGGAGACAAGCTTTGAAGAGCCAGACATTAATCTTGATGGGCAACCTAAAACTTTATCTCCTGTCATGGATGGTGGGAAATCTATGCCACGCCATAGATTTTTCACTGGAAGTTTGTGGGTGAAATGCCATCACTGATTTCTGTTAGATGTCATGGAGCCTGCTGGTGTACGAGCTCATGAGAGCCATATTCAGCGATGTTCGTCATGTTGGTAGCTTGAAATCAGACACGATGGCAGTATTGACAACACAAAAGTGAGCAAACACCACCAAAAAAATGTTAACCTTTGTAGAGAAAAGCTGTCTTTCTCTCCCTAACACTCTAGAGCCAATTGGTAAACATTTATCAGCACACCACTGGTTACAGTATACGGAATTCTCATTTCTCAGGTAAAAAATAAAAAAATTTGTTGCATATCGACAATTTGATTTGGTTCAAACTAGTACTATAATAATAGTATTAGAACAATGAGCTGATAAAATCCAAGCAGACTCTTGAAAATCAATTCATCCTTCATAAAGTCCTCAGAGTAGAAAATATAGAATCAAACTTTAGGTTAAACTAAAAATTTACAAAAATGTATCCAGTCATCTATATGGTTCATGAAAATGTATTATGTCTATGGAATAAATTTTAAGCTAGGCATATATTTTCCTTTAAAAGTATGTTCTTTCCTCTGTGGGATTTGGAAAAGCCATTCCTTTTTATTGCTGGTTTATACGTTTGACAAATAGCTTATTGCTCTTTGCACTGGCAGCTACCTGGAAAAGGGAGATCTATAAGTGGAACATCTTTTTTTTTTTTTTTTTTTTTTTTAAACTAGAGATTTAGAAGGAATCAGTGGAAACTGTTTGAAAAGTGTAAAGTACTTATACGAACTATTCGAATATGACACTGTCAGCTTTTGCAGATACTTCTCAAAAAATAATTTCAGTTTTACGGTTCTATTTATAAATGTTGTATCTAAATAAAGATCTAAGTAAGAGATCCAAATTTTTTAGAATTAAAGAATCTTTAAATTTAAAGATGCCTTGAATGAATCTGGTAAGTGACAAGCCTTGACTGGGACCAGATTCTGACCCTCTGGACACCCCCGCTACTCCCATCCGGTGCCCTTTATACTGTGCAGCATTTTGTGTATATCTCCAAACATATTGCTCAACTCTTAGCACTTGGCCTGGTCTTTTCTGTAATATCAAAACAACCAGAAGTCAGTGTCCCATGAGGTAGTTTGTGAAATAGAAATGAAATGAATGGGGTTTTAAGGTCTCATGTGACACGACATAGTTCACCTTCTTAATGGACAATAAACAAAGTCGTTCTCTTACTTGTATTATATCTTCATATCCTTTGTAGTATTTTCCTCATTCTGAGTTCATCTAAGCTTTAATGAATCAGTGAAGTTTGCTTTGACTTGAAATAGAATAGGATGAATGAGGTTGTATTAAAACCAAAGAATGTTTATGTTTGCTTTGCAGGCAGTTTTCTTCTATCTGATAAATATAGTTAAATAGTTTTCTAAGTTTGATATTAAAGACTTTCAATTTCAAGGTCTTGATTTCTTCCAAATTTGGTTTTTCATCCAAATGTTAATTTAATTTCCTGTTTTTTATTTGTTTTTAACAGATAGCAGAGTCCTATTTCCAGGAGGAGGACTGTATCCTTTTCTTAATTACAGGAAGAAATTCATAAACTCTTAAAAAACTGCTCATTTTTTTTTAAATCGAGATTTACATACAATAAAAATATATAGATCTGTCATTTTCGATGGGATTTAACAGTTGTAGGCACCCAGGTAATCACCCCGGAAAGCAAGACGTAGGAAGTTTCTATTATGCCATAAAATTCTCTAGAACACCCAAGTTTGACCTTCCATCAATAAGGCCTGATTTTACCAAAATCTAAATATTTGTGTGGTGGGGTGCATATTACCAAAAATATATAATTTTAAAATCCAGTGGAATTTATTTATTTATTTATTTTTAATTAAAGAGACGTGCAAGTCAAATAATAGTCATATGGTAGAGCCCGTCAAGCATATTGTACGTAGTAGGTCTCATGACTGCATTACAGCCGTATATGTATCTTCACTCGTAATAAATAGAATAAATGTGGTCAAGTTGGACTGTGTGTTAATTTTTGTATAGGAAAGATTTCTTCCATCAGTTTTTCAATTTCCCTTTTTGTAAATGGCTTTTCTTTTTGAAGGATGGCCCAGTATAAACTCTTTAAAAAGACTGTATTGCAAGCATCTGTTTTTCCCAATTATGAGATTTCTTTTTCCTCCTACCCTCGTCGTCTTTCACCACACCTCTAGGCAGATTGAGAGATAAACAAACTGGTAACAACCTCAGACGATGGCAGTTTATTCTTAAGTGTGCAGAAAATCTAAATCTGGTGGAACTGAAGCTAAAACCCTTTTTTTTTTTTTTTTAACCAAATAACGAGTGTGATGTAGTACATGCAGACCAGCATCAGCATCTCCGGGAACTTCTTAGAAATGGAAATTCATGAGCCTTAGAATCAGAGCTTCTGGGGATCAGCCCCATGAATCTGTATTTTAGCAAGTTTTTTAGATAATTTTTATATTCAGTAAAGTGAAAAACATTGGTATACTTTAAGTCATGGGTAGAAGAAAATGAAAGTAATTGTCCCTTCTTCTCCCTGGACTAGTTTATGGTTCCTGGCATATCTTTAAAACTACAGACAAGAGAGAGAACTGAACCTCTGGGCGATTTTGGGAAGGACAAAGAGCTACAGAGTGAGGTTTTCTCTTCTTATCTGGGTCAACATTTAGAACATGGCCCAAAGGAAAGTAGAGAGTTGGACAGTTTATCGCAACCTCATATGGTGCTAAATGTGTGATGCAGATGGAGAAGGCAGAAGTTTATGAGAAAATCTACAAAAAGGTAAAGTCACATAATTATTGTGGCAAGTTAATTAAATTTTTATAGAAGATCTATATAATGTTTCGCTCTGTCCTTGTTTAGGCATATAATCCTTTAGTTTTGTGGGAGAAAAGCATTCACTGAGATAAGTAAAGGATCAAGGTGAGTTGAAATCAGAAACAGTTTGACAAGAGGATAACATAGTTGCTTGACAGAAAGTAATTTAAGGAGAGGGGGAAAAAAGGGGAAACATTCCAGGCTTCCGTGTGGGTCCTCTGTCCCAGTAAATTGTGTTTCATCAACTGCTAAACATATATTATTGGTAAGCAGACATTTCTTGATCATTCAAACTTTCTTTTAGTTTCTACTATTTGCTTATAGGATTGAACCCAGGTAGCTACAGCATAATATGCTACATTAAAATGTATCTACTTCAGAACCAAGAAACCTTGAGATTTGTTTAAAATTTGAAAATATTTAGAGTCCTCTCATTTTTTGGTAAGCTTCAAATTTCTCAGTTTATATAGGACATTGTTCTTCAAACATGGGGCTAAATGTAAATAGCCTAGATTTCTATTTTCCTCACATTTTCTGTTCAGATGAGAAAGCAATGAAATTCATTCAGCTTGAACGACTGTATCACGAGCAATTGCTCGCAAACCTTTCTGCCATTCAAGAACAATGGGGTGAGTACAGATTAACATAGAATGTGGAATTATCATTAATCTAACAAGGTGCTATTTAGAAAGTTCACATATTTGACTGGGTTTTGTAACTCAGAAAATAAATGTTTCTACAGTCAAGTTAATGTTGCAAAGAAAGTAGCATTTTTACCACAATATGTCATTGTGAGAAAATCTTTCTCTTTGTATTTTGTTCTTCATATCAGTGCCAACAAGAGAACTCTTGCAACTATTTGCATTTCTTCTGATCCTTTTGCATGCCCTACTGGCTAATTTAGTCTCTGGGATAATATTCACTTACATCGAAAAGTAGTCACTTAGCTATTTCTAACCGTGTTAACTTTTGGGTTGTTTGAGAAGATAATTTTGCTGCTAATCTTAATCAGTGGTGCCAGTTAACTATTTTTTCCCTCCTAAATAGGATTTGTAATAGTCAGTGACTAACAAATATTTTAAATTTAGAAACAAAATGGAAAACTGTACAACCACATACAGTCACATCTCTAAGGAATTCAGAAAAGGGATTTAATGGTGAAGATTTTGAACGGCTTACTAAATTTTGCACAACGCATCAAGAGTAAGTATTTCGATACTGGATTAGAATGCGTTGGAATAGAATATTGAAGAACCATTGTAGCACTGAATATTTGAAATACAAGTACCATTTCTTTACTTGTTTTGTTAATATTTTCAACTGGAGAAACTAAACCGGATAAAATCAAATGTTTAGGTTCCTTTCTCAGCTTTTATGTTTCTTATATTGAACTCAGTAAATGGTCAGCTTTACATAAGTTCAAAATACCTTCCAATTAGAAAATTTTAAATATAATTTCTAATTTCGATCTCTTTTTGATTAGAGATTAAACTATTCAGATGGAAAAAATGCATATTAGGATTTTTTGTTATAGTTATTTGCCAATGTTTGTATGTTGTAGTAAAAATGCATCTTTAAAAACAGTCTAATACTGCAAAGCAAATGTAGTATAGTATTTAACCAAAATACGGCAGATAATTTTTAATTGTTTGATTTGTATCAAAGAGTTAGGCTGTTAAAACTAAATTATAGTAATAATAAAGCACTTAAATATTTTTTCAGTTCATTATTTGAAGACAGAATTCTGAAGGTGAGAGGACATGGTAATGATTAAACCAGTGCAGATCCCAGATGAACATCATAAGTCCTCAATAACTCTGAAAGACTCCTTTCTGTTGCTAACTTTTTCTCTTTTTCCGTCAAAATCACAAAGAGTAAACTAAAACTATTTGTTAATGATAGAACAGACACAAGTAACTGTTTCTTAGCTTATGGAGCAGATAGAGAATTGCTTTTGCATCTGATTATTTTGCAGACCAGCCTCTGAAGAATGATTCTAGGTTCAGTAATGATACTCATTCAACTCTAGTGATGATAATTTTCTTTTGAGTCTTTTAAACAGTATTTTTAGCAATTCTGCATTAAAACCTAATTTCTTAACCTTTAGGTTAACTTTCAATTTCACAGAGTTTTAAAATAATGGGATCTTTTAAAATAAATAAAAGAGATTGTTTTCTTGCTTTGAAAATATTAATGTAGACACTTTCC